ATTAATTGTATTTATGTAGTGTTGCTGTAAATATTAAAAAAATTAATTATGGTACGGAACCGAATCGAACCAGAACAATTCCATTTATTAAATACCCGAAAGTTTTGGGTCAATTCGGACCGAATCGACCCACGGACAGCTCTAGTAGGATGGCTCGTTTTGAGGTCATTTGTGCCTTACAAAACATCCTCATAAAACGTGGAACGCCTACGAAGGATCATATATTGTCTTTGATTGTGTACCTTTGAACTAAGTAAATTTTAATATTTTGGATCAGGAACCAGGTAAAGCAGAAGAAGCATTTGCATCCGCAGAAACCAGTAATGTCATGATATCTTTTCTATCGACCCGCGATCCAAACCCTCCATGCTTACCTGAAGAGATGCAATTATTTTTCAAGGATCCTGTAACACGTCCTTCATGGCTCACTGAGGAAGATGTAAATTATTACGCAAGTAAATTCAAGAAATCTGGCTTTACCGGAGGATTGAACTACTATCGAGCCATGGATTTGTAAGTTCTTTATTACTTTCCCTTTTCCAACATGGCAATGAACCGAACATAGAAGCTAAAAAGAATTTATGTAGTCGACCTCAAAATTGTTAAGAGTAAGACTTAATTTGTCATTACGATCCTGATTGCAGGAGCTGGGAGCTGACAGCAGCATGGACAGGAACACAAATAAAAGTCCCAGTTAAGTTTATTGTAGGTGACCAAGATTTAACCTACCATTTTCCAGGGGTTAAGGATTACATAAACAGTGGTAAATTCAAAGAAAACGTTCCATTTCTGGAAGAATTGGTGGTTATGGAAGGCGTAGCGCACTTTATTAACCAAGAAAAGCCAGTGGAAATCAGTGAACACATTTACAACTTCATCAACAAATTCTGATTTACGTACTCTACTCTTCGTGGTTTTCAATAATGTACTCAAAATAATCACATCTGCGATGTTGTTTCTATCATTTACAGACATTTTCCATTTCTGTAACATGAAGAAATTGAAGTTTGATTTCGATAAATTTGGGGTTAGAATGTTTTACGAGTTATTTGTTGCCACATGTCACCGTGTTGAAATCAAGTTCCCTTTCAACTCTATATGCCATACAAAAGTTCTTATTATTTATCCTAAAAATAAAATAAAATATAAATACACATATTCGGTGGTAGAAGCAACACAGACAGAAAATAAAGTTTGGAACGTGGATTTGGATTCTGCTTTTCAAAAACTGTTTTATCTAACAAGGTAGGATTACGAGGTGCAAGTGGTTTATCCCGTTTAATTTATTTTTCATGTTAATTAATATTATACTAATGAAAGTTACGATATAATATGTTATCTTATGATATATAATTGACATTCGGTACCAAAGATATGATATATTTGAGCTCTTACTGATTTTTTAAAAATATGATATGACAGTATGATATTTTTGATACATGATTTAATATTTTTATTCGGGATTGCACCATTAATTTGTATCCTATTGAGTATTCTCATATACTCGCCCCTTTTTGCTTTACCTCGCAATTAGAACAAGCTATTGGTTGGCGGGCGATGAGGTGCAGTCGTAGTGCTAGGATTTATGGAACTTAATAAAAAAAAATCCAGTGTAACAATGCTTTTTTTTTTTTTTAATTTCAACAATTTCTTAGTTTTATTTCGTAAGGATTTTTATTTATTTTTTTTTTAATTTCTGCAATTTCTTAGTTTTATTTCGTTAGGTTTTTTATTTACAAATTTAAGACATGTTTTATGGGTTATAAATTTAAAACTATGTTATGTTTTATTAGTGGAATTAATATTTATTATTTATCTAATAAATGCAATATGCATAGTTTTTAATATTTATTTGGTTATGAGTTTTATTAATTAAATTGTGTCAGTCAATTTCATATATTTACACTGTTAAAGTTAATAGTTTTGGTAGCGATTTAAAAATTAAATTTTGGGTCGTTACACGCCTGCCTAAATTAATCAAGAAATTGGATGGAAATGTCATTGGGGATTAACTCTGCTAATTTAAGGATGTTTGGGGACAAGAATGACAGGAAAAATGGTTGGAACAAGATCGCAAAATTTGGCAAAGGTTGGGGACTAAATATGAAATTACCCAATTAATTATCCTGAGTCTATAATAAACTTTCAAAATTCAAAATATCAATTGACATAAAAATCAAGATTTTCTAGGCTAGAAAATAAACTTTCCATATTTTCAATTAGGTCCCAAAAAGTTGTTATATTGCAAACTTACCCTACACTTTTCAAATCTTAGAAATAAGTCCTTAAACACTAAATAGCATTTCCTGGACTTAGGGGGTTTTTGTTTTTTATTCTCAAATTCTACAGTAAATCAATTCTCATTTTCAACCACATATTCTTCAATAAAATAATATTTTCCATCACATCAATAATTTTTTCTTCTTTTTCAACCACAAATTTCCCATCATATCACTATTCAAAAATCAATTCTTCCCCCAAAAATCCCTACCAAACACACTCTAAATTTAATTACTGAACAGAGTTTAATCAAATAAAATTGTTGGATTGCATACAAAAAAATTTCATTAAAATTCTAAGGCCCTGTTTGGGAGGAATTAAATTTTTCTACAGTAAATCAATTCTCATTTTCAACCACACATTCTTCAATAAAATAATATTTTCCATCACATCAATAATTTTTTCTTCTTTTTCAACCACAAATTTCCCATCATATCACTATTCAAAAATCAATTATTCCCCCAAAAATCTCTACCAAACAAGCTCTTAATATTAACCTCAAAACGATCCATCTGCAATTTTTCCAAAGGGGCAGTTTAATCCCTATACTTGGCAATTGCAAACAAGGTCCAACTTGATTTCTTGGCACATAAAGACCCTTGTGTCCATTACTTTCTGCCATGTATGGTTTGTTTGTAGACGTCAGAAGTCGGTCACAAATAACTAAGTTACGGACGTTCTTAATCTACAATCCTGACCTGAAGCCGATGGATCTAGCAATGAGCAGGTTGAAGAGTGCTCTAACATGCTTAGGAGGATTGAACCCACTTATGTGGCATAAATAAGGGGATGACTTGTGGCTCTACTAATTTATTATCCACGCATTTCATAGGATCCAATACTATTCCTCATAAATGATTTATAATTTTGCCAAACGGAGGCTAAGTAATTAATATATTAGTGGTTGCCTGCCTATGTAACAGTAAAATGAATAATGCATATGCTTCTATATATCCTTGCACAAAATCAGCTTACAATAAAGTACAGGTACACATACATACCACTTCTATAGTTTTATTGTACTAATTTATTCCTTTTTTTGAATGTCTTTCGACCTTAAACCAGCAGCAACTGGCTTTCTCTTCGATCTTCCTCTTCCAAACAAACTTATCTTCTGAAGAACTTTGAGTAATCTATTAGCATAATTTCTTTGGGAAGCAAAGTTTATGGTACCTATGCAACCGGCGTTCACTTGTTCGAGGGGATTTTTCCTCTTGCTCATTCTTCTTTCCCCCAAACCATATGGTTCTGTTTTCTTGGTATTTTTTTCATTTTTCTTCAACATCTGTTGTAATTGAAGGCTCCTCTTTAAGGACATGAACTCATTTTCAAGATTCTGGATTCTAAAGCTTGTTGATTCATAGTCCTTTTTTGGGAAGTCAGAACTAAACTCGGAACTGGACGATGACAAATCTTTCTGCAGCCAAGAGCTCAGTGGCTTGCTCCCTCCTCCTTCACTTCCTTTTAGATATGGCATTGGGCTCTCTCCTAGATTTTGGCTTTTGGAATTTGTATGTCTAGAGCTCGACAGGCTTCCAGTGAATTCTCCACAATTTGCATACCTAAATGAATCAGAGCATTCTCGAAATGCTTGTTGAGTATTTAGTTGCTGAACAAAGAGTGCCTGGACAATTAGTCGTAGTGGCATCATTTCATTTTGAACTGCTTCAATGCAAACTTGTTGGGATAGTTTCTGGCAGTTGAGATATTTGCACACTAACCCTTTCTCGTCTTGTGATATATGTGGATGAGACTGAAAACAGAGAACTTCATATTAATTTCAACATCACGTCTATGGCATACCTTCTTATTAATACTAGTATATGATATCTTACCAGGAGGAAGTTGTTCAGTGTCTTGTAGAGATGATCATGGCTTTGCCTGCTGGAAATTGGAATTGTTTCGATGAGATCCATGAGTCGTTTACAACCCAACTGCGAATCAGTAGCTATCTGGCTTAGATACAGGTCCCATAATTCTGCAACAACAGAATTGTTTTCTGAAGGAGTGCGATTTCTTTCCGTGTTATACAATGACCTATACGTTGAAACTATGCTCTCCATTATGGACAACTCGCGGCAAGAAGAAATGGACTGATTGGTACCGTCCTTTGGAAGTAGAAAATCTTCTACCTGAGCCAAGTGTAGTAGAGATGCAATCTGATGTTGCAGCTTCTCCAATCTGTCATTTCTCAGATCAAGTTCTAGAGATTTAGATAGCAAACAGAAGTAAAAATCAATAGGAATCACTTTTCTAGCCTTCTCTCCCATAGGCAACAAATCTATGATGCCTTCGAGGATAATTGAAAGTTCATCAACTCGACTTTTGTTCACTGAACTCGGAAGGATACATTTGTTGACATAGAAGAGTATAATGGGGCTGACATATTTTTCTTTCATGCCTTGTCTTCTTAAAGATCCTATTATCCTCTTGAAAAATGGAAATGGCAGAGCGATAAGATCTTTAATCCACAAATCATGGCTTATGACACCTTTTAGTCTTTGATTAGTCCAGTGCTGGTGAGCCAAAGCCTTTATTGTAATTACTGGATGTTCTCTTCTCCTCTCGGGATCAAGAATCTCCATACAAGCCATGAATGCGAGAGTCTCAATGCACCGGCTCACGATTAGAAGCTCTTCAGCCCAGGGAAGTAATGTTTGACACCTTTGGAGAACAATTAAAGTGTCATCCCAACTTTGCAACACAACTTGGTTAAGATAAATATCGAACCGCTCACAGAGATTCCCAGAGCCATAATCTTCTGTCATATGAAGAAACTCAGCTGCGCATCGTAATGCCACAACATTGAAGGGATCAACTAGTGTGGACGACCCATACATGAAGAGTGCAATCATCTCAAAGGTCTCTGGTCCACCTGGAAAACTGTTAGGCAGCGTAACTTCATTCGATTCATTCAATTTTTCCTTCAAGTATCCACTCTTACAAGTCAATGGATGCTGCAACAGACGGTAACATTATTTTTCATAATAGTTAGATTGTGTAATCAGTATAGAATCTTTCTTTACCTTGTGCAAGTTGAAGGTTCTGTCGGCAACCCGAACGCAAACAGAAACAGGCAAACCGGTCTCTTTGCTCCTGAAAACATCATTACAAGTTAAAGAAATCAAAATCTGACGAAATTAGAAGAAGAAAAGGCATCGAATGAATTACGTACCATGATATGATCTTGATTTTGAGCAAGGCAGCGACATTCGGAGAAGAAAATGGACTCGAAAGCAATGAGCAATCCATCAAGATTCTTTACATGTATTGGTCAGTAAAGTGGAAGTGAAGTGAGGCTAAGATAAATATTTGTTGAGTAGGGAAGGGATAAATGTTTGAAAGAATAGGAAAATTAGGCAGAGCTTTAGATGCAGCCCCCGTTTGGCACCCATTTTTTTCTCATTCTCATTCTCTTTTTTTTTCTCTTTCTTCATTTCAACCACACATTCTATCAATAAAATAATATTACACATAAACCTAAAAATTCTCCTTACTTTTTAACCACACATTCTTCCATCAATCACTATTCAAAAACACATTCTTTCACAAAAATGGGTGTCAAACACCCCCGCAGTGTATATGTGTGCATCTCTTTTTCTTCAAAAGTTCACGGGTCTTTTTCTTTGGTTGACCCGGAATTCAGGTGCGTATAAAATCACACAAAACTTTAAAATTCGCAAAAATATAATATTGTTAAAAGGAAAATCTTGACAATATATCTAAATTCTCAATCTATGTAAAATCTACATGATCAAAATTGTCGACTTGAACGATGNCACTGAACACATAGTTTCCGGAAGTTGAGTGGAATGTGCTTTCTTTTCGCGCTATGGGTGCGCGCAGGGTGCTGCTAGTGCTCTTGTTTTTTTTGATTGTACTGTCATTTATTTTTACTAACTCAGGAACTTTCGCTTAGGGTGCACTAAGTTAAGTGAAAGTTGCTTGCAATTTGACGTTTACATTGACGGTTTTAGTTACATAAGAATTTATATTTACAGATTTAAATATGTTGGAGACTTAGAACCCTATCTGGACCCATGATTACAATTTACACCACATGAAAGGCTCGAGAGCACAACCTTAATTTCCATATTTAAAAAAAAAATTAAAAAAATATGTCATCTGAACTTTAATGACGAACGACCATGGTCTGTTTGGTATGTTAAATTGAACGGTACTGTAAGAAATATACATGGACAAGTTTTATCATGTGCCAAGGTCGTATTCACTTCATTCGGAGACACGTTTGGGTACTCATAAGTACCGTTTTCAAAATAATAAATGAATAACATTAGCATAGACTAATAAAATTATGAAAAGATGGCCTAAAAAGGTGGAGCGGGGTACTATAATAAAATAGAAAAATGAGAATAGATGACTTGCTTGCGGAGGAAGTTTTGTAGTAAATCCAATGCCCCAAACGGCACGGCTTCTCAAAAACTGGCTCTACTTCCCGAGATTTCAACTTTAATATTTTAAATTATTGTAATTGTTTAAGTTAATTATAAAAGAAATTGATTCAAAAAATGGTCATTAAAGAATGTGTTGTAGTATTTATTCACAATTAAATGTTTCAAATGTCATAATCCGCAATCGACGATTTTTCAAGGTTCAATTAGAATTAAAACTATATTGATCGACCACCTAGATGTTTAAAATATGTTAGATACAAGTGGAATCGAATTGTTTTTCCAGTCGGTAGGGACAATTGTTCGATCCGCTAGAAGGCCGTACATTCTCCATTGTCAATAAGCAATGAATTATGATGCCTAACTTGCAAATAAATATACTGGAATTTCCCATTACACACTTTGCCAAAAATGAGCTTTCAGCACACATTCAGCACAAAAAAATTATATGCCTAAGAAATTTCTAGACTTGATTGAAAGTTTTGAAAAGTTAAGGACAAATACAAGGTTTTCTCATTTTCCAAGGACTGAATAACAACAAGATGGAAAATAACGGTTAAATAAATGTTACTATTAGGTTTGGAGAGTTAAATTTATTTCAAATTTTATTTGAGGAAATTTCACCACATACTCTATTTTTAATAAAATTTCAAATATTACATTTAATCATTTTTTTATATCTTAAATATCGCAATATTTAAAGTATAATCGAAATAGAAAAAATAACTCAAGTTACTACAAGTTTGAATTTTGTTTATCATAATTATTTGCGCAGTTTTTTTTTTTAATTCTATTTTTCTTCCAGTAGATTTTGGCAAAGATCTGATTACAAGTGGTGAAAAAGGACTCACGGAGGTGTTCCCAAATTTATCGAGAACGAGGTTTAGTTGTTAAATTTTCCCTATGTGAAAGAAAATTCCTTAATGTGTTCTTGGAAGATGAATCTGTCAATTACGCCTTACAAACTTGCTACATGTATAGCATTTTTGTACAGCATACCTTACAGTCCTCACATGGAGGGTGGGGCCCGTGATCGCGGGACCTACATTATGTGAAAGAGTTGTACATTGTACAGCATTTAAAAGCTGTACAAACAGCTTTATTGTACGCTTTAAACATATCAGTGTGTGTTTCTGAAGTATTAATTGCAATTTGTCATTTCACAATGATGTTGTTTGCTTATTTTGGGATTATTACAGTGTCATTAATTGGATTTCCCTATACATTATGAATCGTTTTACAACACCATGCTAGTTGGAAATTACACAAGTAGAAATGTTGTACAATTTTGTGAGTTTCATATATTCATTGCATATGAATACGAGTAGTATATGTTGAATAGGCTTTGTTATTATTTAATCGTGTTCGTAGTACTCCACTAAGAGAAGAAAAGTTTCATCTGTATTCAGATATCTCTCCTGTGCATTTATCGAAAGCTTTCAATCCACTTCTCTTCTAGTTTTTTTCTCTCCTGTGCATTTATGAATGGTCATTATTGAACTTTGATGTCATTCTCTTCTATTCGACAATTCTTTAGTAGGTAATTTGGATGAATTCCAATGGTCACCAGTTCGAGTCCCCTCAGGCCACTGAGGTGTGTACCCGGTCGTAAACTTCAGGGTCCCGTGAAATTAGTTGATGTGAGCACAAACTGGCCCGGACATCCATGGTTATAAAAAAAAAAAATTTGGATGAATTCTCCAAATTTTATTCAATTTATCTTGATATAGTGAAGCAAGTGCCACCGGATTCGGATTCGAATCCAACTTCTTCTTTGTTGGCGGGTTAAGATCAGAATCCAAAGTCACCAAGATGAAGGAAAGCGATAAAAGTATAATTCTGGAACTCATTCCAATAATTTTTTTCTTAAATCCCCTTTTTTAGAATTTGTCAAATGATGTATTGACTGTAACGCCCCAAAATTTCAAGCATCTTGAGGTGTTACCAAACAAAATTTTCATGTACTTAAATGCGGAACTGTAAAATTATATTTTTCTAAATAAATAGAACATTCATAACTTTAAATAAGAATCATAATATCGTGTCTTTGAAACGATTTAAATATTCTTAACTAACAAATTTGCTAAAAATATTATTGGAACAAAACAAACTAAAAATTTTAAATAAAAGCAGTAAAACCTAATGTTATTCTCATCGGTCGAAATCCTTTGGCAGCCCGCATCACCGTCCCGCCACAGCTCCAATCGACCCGAACTAGTCTGTAAAAATTGTAAGAGTGAGTATTTTGAAAACACTCAGTAAGATACGTGCAGTTTCCATTATACAATTATATGCAATAAAATAACACTTCATACCACTCTTCTCTTATGGAGTATCTCGGTGACCAAGCGAAACACCCATCTAGGTCATCTTAAATTCCCGAAGGATCTCTTATCTCTTTCTAAGGAACCCGAAAGCCCATTGACAATTCATGCATAAAATTACTGAACATAAAAGCATAAGGAAACAAACAACTTTACACAAAAGTATCTTACCTCAATTGATCAAACGAGCTTTTGAAAATAAAAATATACTTAGAATTTACAGCTGTTCTCTATATGAAAACTGCTGTGTAAAATTCTGTGTGGTGAATTGTGAAATATGAGCTCACTATTTATAGGGAAAAAGTACAGTAGTTGAGTCATAATATAACTCTAATATAAATCATATTTATTCTAATAGATAAGAGTTTGTTAAAATGGTTGGTTAGAACTAGAATTTTGATAGGTCAATATATATTAAAGATAAACATGGCTAAAATAACACAATATTATCTTCCAAAAATATATGTGTGTACACGTGCAATTGAAAAGAATAAGGAATGGTTAATTCATGATTATCTACTTAAATATTATAATATATTGCTAATTATCCTAAAAGGACCATAATTAAATAATAAAATATTGCATATAAATCATACTTCTTCGAATTGAAATATTTTGGGCTTAACTCATCTGAACTTAAATTTTCTTGAGCCCAATAAACACTATTTAATGCGGGCTACAAAATGAGCACAATATTAATATACTTTTGATCACTCTATAGGAAGTTAAATATTTGGCCCATTTAAAACATAAGGATTTAAAAGATACTTTATTTTAGCCCTTCTACTTTCAAAAACCATAGAATAAAATTTATAAAACAAATATTTTTATTCTAAAATTTTCGGGGTGTTACATTGACATTCTTGTAGAATTGTAACCATGTATAGTTAAATTTGCATTCGGTAATTAATATACAGCTTAAACTTTGCCATTTCGATTTTCAGTTACAAATCAAAAACGAGAAAGTTTCAGAGTTAGTAAATTAGGTATTTTTTTTTTGGGTTATACAGTATATTCAATATATAAATGAGTAATTTGGTATAATATGAAATCTTTTTCATTTCATAGGTATTTATGATTTTTTCCCTTTTTATTTTATGTTACTATATTTGGGTCTAAAAAATTATTTAGGGTTTTGAATAGGTCCATTTTAACTAAAAATAGTTTAATTTTAATGGACCAAGCCCAAATACCCTGTACAGGAACTCTCCAACCCAGTCCAAAGAGGAAGTTCGGCCCAGAGGGTTTCCATACTAGAAAATTTCACCAAGTCAAGAAAGTATTAAGGAAAAAAAAAAAAAAGGAGCCAAAAATAATATGCTCAATGAATGCTATCCCCAAAATGCTTGTGCTCAATTATAATGCAAGCATCAGTTTAGGCATTGACAAAATTCTTGAGATTTCTCTTACATATCTTTCCAAACTTTGGTATTCGATAGGAACCCATGCCTTTTCCTCTCGAAACTTCATCAAATTAAAAAAGAATCAGAATGTTTCATACATGCTACCCTGCATCAGTTGCATTTCATCTTGCAGAGGTGTACAGTAAGGCATAAGAAGCTCAGGATGCAGACCACGACCTACAATACACATGCTTCAGTGTTCACCAATTAGCTAAGAATAGCTAGCACTACACATGCTTCAATGAAGCCCTACTATCATCAAATATGCCATCTCTAGAGAGATACTTGGCAAGTAATTGCATTAGGCAAAAAATGTTGGGCAAATTAGGCCAGATACTCTAAAAAATTAACTAATTTGATTAATACCCTATTAATTAATTAAATCATTTAACTACGTATTTAATACGTTCTAAAACCCTCCAAA